CCCCCCAAAGGAGCGACGTTTAGCTCCGCTGTGGGAACGTCCGCCTTAATCCCAGAGGGGTTCCACGGTAAAACAACGTCCGCCTCCGCGCCCGACTCTCGATGACAGGGATTGATCCTTATCTGCCTTTCAAGCTCCTGTCTTACCTCCTCCCCCATTGGGGGAGATCTTGTTTCTAACCTCTATTGCGGCAAACTAGCCATCTAGACCGTCCGTAATTGCTAGTTTATGGTATATCTGTTTCTGTTTATTATACTACCACATTCACAGTTTTATTGAGGTGGTGCTCAAGTATATACCCTTTTAACCCTACATATGCTTCCTACCCCCGTCCCTTTTCATCCCCCCCTCCATTCCCCCCACCCCCAATTGCCCTCCTGATTGCAGGAATGATTGCTAAAGTGAGATTACAATTATTTTTCGCCCTCCATGCCTCGGTGGTTATGGCACCCCCAGACCTGTAGAAATACTGACTGGTATTTCGCCCCGCGACTCAGCGCTGACGCTGAACTGGATTGTTGTTGTTTTGTGTTTTTGTTGTCCATGTACTATCTCTCTTCCCTCTTTTCCTTCTCTTTCTTTTTCTCTTTTTCTCCCTTACAGGCATGAGATTCTCTACTTCTGCATTTTGAACATACAGAGCTGTTCACACACTGAGTCATCAACAGCACTGCCCTCTCATCTTGGTAACTATGGCGACACAATTTTTTAAACTTATTTTACATAATGTTCAGGGACTGAACTCACCCCAAAAACGTAGGGTAGCTTTTAATTATTTTACCTCACACCACGCCAATATAGTCTGCTTACAAGAAACAAGGTTCTCCACCTCATCCTGCCCTTAATACTTGTACAAGAATTACCCACAAGCATTTCACGCCACCTTTCGTGAAAAGAAGAGGTTCGTTATGATTGCTTTTCATAAACATACTCCCTTCAACTGTTCCCTGGAAATAGTGGACCCTAGTGGTCGCTATCTACTACTACAAGGCACCATATTTGATGTGAAATTGACCATAGTTTCCTATTACGCCCCTAACACCCTTCAAAACAGGTTCTTTTCACATCTCCTCCAAGTGCTGGATAAACACTCTAGGGGTACTTTGCTAGTGGCGGGTGATTCTAACCAAACCCTGAACTGGACAAAACTGACCCGCACACACCCACTGACCCTTCGCCTCACTTACAATCCCAAGCGTCCCTCTTTCATACAATGATCACCAATCATGGCCTAATTGATGTCTGGAGGAAAAACCTTCTATTCTCACCTGCATAATAGCTCATCCCGCATTGGTCACATTTTTCTTCAACCCGGGTTCCTCCCTATGGTAGTGGATGCGCGCATTCTCTCAGCTTCATGGTCAGACCACTCCCAGGTATCTCTTCGCTGCTCTTCCCTTTCTCCCACACCTCCCCAATCTCGGTGGCGGTTGAATGACTCCCTCCTCTCTTTCGCTGACGTGGCTCAAAACATCCAAATGTGCCTTTCCCGCTTTTTTTGCCGAAAATGCGCATTCGGTTTCTTCACCGATTATGCTATGGGAAGCCCATAAAGTGGCTTTGAGAAGTGAACTAATTTGCTTGGCCTCTCGACGTAAGAGAAATATCTTCTACTAAACTGGAGTTAAATCTTCTGTTGAATAATACTGCAGAGAAACAACTCCGTTGGTCCAAATGCACGTTCTACACATACGCTAACAAACCAGGCCCTTTAATGGCTAATATGCTCAAATCCAAACCAAGAGTCACGCCTCCAGTCAGACTCGGACTTTCTCAAGGCTCTATCACGGCGAACCCCTCCACAATCATTGGCAAATTCACTTCAATACTTACTAAACTGTATAGCAAGCCCACCACTTTTCAACCAAAACTTGCAGATACTCTTCTTGCCGAAGTTACGCTCCCTCCACTCACCGAGCATATGAGCGAATTACTGGCACAGGTGTCACGGTCCCCGAAATCCTCTGAGCTATTAAAACACTTAAAATCAACAAAACCCCGGGGCTCTGATGGGTTTACAGCACTATATTACAAAAAATACTCAGAAACACTTGCACCATACCATGTTGATATGTTCAACTCCATTAAATCTCATCACCCTCTCCATCCCTCCTCCGTTCTGGCACATATTGTCATGATCCCCAAACCAGATAAAGAGGCTCTAGATCCGCAAAATTAAAGGCCTATTTCCTTACTAAACGTTGACATCAAATTACTTACTAAGATCTTGGCTGCCCGCCTGAACATGTTCCTGCCCACCCTCATTCACTGTGACCAAGTAGGCTTCGTTCCTCTAAGACAAGCGTCCGATAACACACGCAAAATTATACACCTGATACAACATATGCACCAGACAAGTTTAGCTCCGCTGTGGGAACGTCCGCCTTAATCCCAGAGGGGTTCCACGGTAAAACAACGTCCGCCTCCGCGCCCGACTCTCGATGACAGGGATTGATCCTTATCTGCCTTTCAAGCTCCTGTCTTACCTCCTCCCCCATTGGGGGAGATCTTGTTTCTAACCTCTATTGCGGCAAACTAGCCATCTAGACCGTCCGTCATTGCTAGTTTATGGTATATCTGTTTCTGTTTATTATACTACCACATTCACAGTTTTATTGAGGTGGTGCTCAAGTATATACCCTTTTAACCCTACATATGCTTCCTACCCCTATCCCTCTTTCTCCCCTCCCCCTCCCCTTCCCTCAATTACCCTCCTGATTGACTCCATTCCCCCCACCCCCAATTGCCCTCCTGATTGCAGGAATGATTGCTAAAGTGAGATTACAATTATTTTTCGCCCTCCATGCCTCGGTGGTTATGGCACCCCCAGACCTGTAGAAATACTGACTGGTATTTCGCCCCGCGACTCAGCGCTGACGCTGAACTGGATTGTTGTTGTTTTGTGTTTTTGTTGTCCATGTACTATCTCTCTTCCCTCTTTTCCTTCTCTTTCTTTTTCTCTTTTTCTCCCTTACAGGCATGAGATTCTCTACTTCTGCATTTTGAACATACAGAGCTGTTCACACACTGAGTCATCAACAGCACTGCCCTCTCATCTTGGTAACTATGGCGACACAATTTTTTAAACTTATTTTACATAATGTTCAGGGACTGAACTCACCCCAAAAACGTAGGGTAGCTTTTAATTATTTTACCTCACACCACGCCAATATAGTCTGCTTACAAGAAACAAGGTTCTCCACCTCATCCTGCCCTTAATACTTGTACAAGAATTACCCACAAGCATTTCACGCCACCTTTCGTGAAAAGAAGAGGTTCGTTATGATTGCTTTTCATAAACATACTCCCTTCAACTGTTCCCTGGAAATAGTGGACCCTAGTGGTCGCTATCTACTACTACAAGGCACCATATTTGATGTGAAAT